ATATAAATCTGCCCGGTCTCTCTCTCTCCCCCCTCTCTCTTTTCACCCCTCTCCTCTCTTTCACACACACACACACACGCACACACGCGCGCACACACACACGCACACACACACACACACACACACCAAAAAACACACAAATACAAACAACACACTACATGCATGTGTGCAGATCGTTGATGCAGCAGCACAGCAACCCTGGCAGGTGCGCCCGCCCCCAAACTCGGCCTACGTACCTGCAACGGCATGACAGCCAGCATAGCGGACACCCCCGCGATCGCGGGCACCCAGCCGAGCTCGAACGCCACCATAATCAGCACGATCACTGTCTCAAGGGGCGCACTCCACGTGTACACCCAGAACGGCATGGCGTCGTCAAAGCGCCGGACGTCATTGCTAGCGAGGTTGACAACGTGGCCTTGAGTAGGAGAAGGGGTCGAGAAGGGGGAGGACAGGGCGCAGGCGGGAGGGTGTGTGAGCGGCGCTCATGCGGGCAGCAGCACCAAATGGGACAGCACGCCCTGCAGGTGACAGCAAGCCCCGAGTGGGACAGCGCGGCCCCTTCATGTTTGAAGCAGCCCAAGCGCCAGACCAGGGCGAAGACGCTGCGGCTGCATGCGCGCAAGACCGCAGTGCGAGCCGCGGCCCGGGTCAAGTGGCCTGCGCCCTGTCCCCTGCAAGCCCACTCAGGCACCCGGCGGACGGGCGCGCGCGCGTGCGCGCGAAAGCGCCGGCCGCGCCTCACCCGTCGACGCGTGCGCGACCGAGGCGCTGTTGAGCCTCAGCACCTTTGCGTGGATCGCCGACACCACCTGCTGACGCATGATGTAGCCCAGGCGCATGCCCACCCTGGGTTTAGGGGAGGAGGGGGGGGGACAGCAGTCAAGGGCGAGGGGGAGCAGAGAGGAGCCGATGAGGAGGGGCGGGGGGAGGAGGAGCCATCAATCACCACTTGACGAAGGGGCCGCTGGGGTACTCAGGCAGCAGGGGAGCTGCGCCCGCAAAGGCTGGAGGCGTGCACGCGCAGCGGGCAGCACGGCGCTGTTCAGCTCCAGCTGCTGAGAGCGCGCGCGGGCCGCTCTGCCAAGGCGCATGGCTGCGCGGCCAGCCTTGCCGCATGCCGAGCGAGCCCGCCAGCTGCCCGGCGCGAGGCCAGCCATCGAAACTGTGCGCATAGCAAGCTGCCTGATGGGACGTCACCCCC